GCGAAGAGAAACGGGAGGACGGCAGTGCAGCTGCACCCTGCATGTCACTCTAGAGGATCCCCCGGGCAGCCCCCTCTACTCGGAGCTAGTAGTACGATAATACCCTCCGAGGGTTGGACCCGCGTACCAGGTTTCCCCTTAGGTGCTAGTGATACGAGAATACGCACCGCCCCGGCGCAATACCATACTACGCCGACGGGAGTGCCCTCGCCAATGCCCAAAAAGCGGCGCAGAGTGAGGCGGCGCCCAGAGCAAGCACGTGAGCCCCGGCGCTCTGGATGGGGCGTGACCTCCTGCCTCCAACCTCCTTCCTTTTTTGAGCAGGTGTGACGCCGCGCGAGCGACGCTCCGAGATCGCCCGAGACAGCGCGGCGCGGCGGTGGGTGAGGTGGGGTGGGGTGGAGGTGGCGTGGCGTGGAGCTCCGAGATTGCGCGAGATTGCGCGAGATCGCCCGAGGTCACGCGGCGCGGCCCGAGATCGCCCGAGATCGCGCGGCCCGAGATCGCGCGGCGCGGCCCGAGGCGAGGTGGTTGGGTTGGGAGCGAGGGGGCGGAAGTGTTCAGTGCGGTAGATGGTGAGCTCGGGGCGCGTGAGCCGGACTTGTGGGCCGGACCACCCCCGTTCTTATCCTGCGTTGTTGAGCCAGGACTCAACATACCCGGGCTTTCAATCCCGCACTGTCACTTCCCTTTCTCCCGGCCGGGGTAGGGGCGGGCGGGGCGCGCGCGGGTGGCGACGGGTGTGCGGGATGGCTGTGGGCCCGAGAGTGATATGCCATGTCCGCCTTGCTTTGTTTCCTAACATCGAAGGCTAAGCTCAAAGAAATTAGTGCGCATGGCGGTGCCGTCGTGGAGGGAGGTGGCGACGGCGGCGGCGCGCTGACGGAGCTCGGGGATGGTGTAGGGCTGCGCGCCAAACGGCCTGAAGAAGGTGTAGGCGGTGCAGAGCTGGAGGGCGAGATAGGCGAGGACGTGGCGTCGTCGAGAACGCGGTCGCCGGTGAGATTGGTGAGAAACACCAGCGTCGTCCCACCAACGCCGTCCACCCCGCTGAGGGAGGCGCCCAGGGACCCGGGTGCGGCGCGGGCGCGCGTGCTCTCGCGGACGCAGGCGTCCGCGTTCACCCACGTTTTGAACTGGGTTTGCAGCTCGCGGTGCGGGCCGTCCTGCTTCTTGGACTGGATGTGGCCCAAGTAGGTGACCAGCCGTTCTGCGAGGTGGCGTTTGGGATGACGCACCAGACGTTGTCGCTGCTGGAGTTGCAGGCTTTGCAGCGGGTGAAGGCGAGGGAGGCGAGCTCGGCATCGGTGACGGAAGGGTGCTGGCGGGCAAGGTGCTTGGCGAGGTCCGTGCGGTTCTTGTTCCGTAACTGACCAAACAAATATTGCTTACAGCTGTATTGGGTGGACGCACCTCGCACACATGGCTGCGCAGATTCCTCGCGCTCTGGGCCGACTTCATGCGGACTGCCGGCTCCGCCAAGCCACCGCCCTCGCCGCGCGTGCCCTCGCAGTCCCCCTCGCCCTCCGTCGCCGCCGCCGACGGCCCCGTACCGCTGCCCCTCGTCTCCGATCTCTTCGCCACCGTCGAGGCCGAACCGTGCGAGGGCGAGGAGTGGGCCGCCACCGCCACGTGGGAGCCGGAGTTCGAGGACGACCCCGACAGCGTCTTCTCCACCTTCTCCACCTTCACCCGCTCCGCCGCGCTGCGCAAGTCGACCTATCTCGCGGAGAGACCGCCGAGATACAGCCGAGATACAGCCGAGATACGGCCGAGGTCAGCCCCGAGGTCAGCTCCGAGGTCAGCCCCGAGGTCAGCCGAGGGTGAGGGGCGTGAGGGTCGACGCCTCATCCGTCAGATCCTCTGGCAGAGCTACCAGCTGGAGAGGGGGCAGTGACCGCGAGCCTCGAGCACGACGCGGCGGCGGCGAGCGCGGCGGCGAGTAGCAGCAGCTGTGGCGGCGGCAGCTGTGGCGGCGGCGGTGGTGGCGGCGGTAGCGGCGGCGGCGGCACGACGCAATCGGCGCGCTCGACGGCGACGATGGCTGGCCGGGCTGGCGCTGGCCCTCTGCCCCCACTGCCGCTCCCCCGGCAGCACACGCACTCGGTACGGGCCCAGCTCGTCGCGAGGCGGCCGCCGCTCCAGGCGCAGCACCGATGACAACCAGGGAGCAGGCCACGGCGGGCAAGGCGTGCGGACGACTCACGCATGCTAGCAGCACGCATGCCGCCGCCACGACCGCCACGCCGCCGCCGGTGCCCACCAGCTAGCGCCATGGAAAGGTGTAACTGCTGACTCTCGAGTGAGTCTCCCAGCGGACTCATCAGGGTGTTTGGCAGTCCCGATACGTATTGGGATTTTTCGCGAGGCGTGCCCGCTCAAGTTATACTCTAATTCTATCCACATGTATATTTCACGGTACTTGTGTGTGGAGACTACAAAAGTAAACACGTACGATGTGTGCGGGGGGCGGACGTACTTGGGCAAGGATTAGCGTGACGGGCCGCACGCCATCCCCTCCACCAGCAGCGGTACGAACGTACAATACCCTCACCCGGCGGCCCCAGTCGCTTGCTCATGGCTCATGCGTGGGCCCGCTCCCCGCCCCGCGCGGCGCGATCAAACCTCACCAGAGACCGACTCGCGGCTCCGTGGCGTCGCCTTAACCGGCAACGAGCCGCCGCGCGGAGTTGCCGCCTCCGCCTCCATCCGAGGCCCCTCCGCTTTGGGGAGGCGGAGTTCGAAGGCCGGTGGTGCCGGTAACGAATTCACCGCATCCGCGTCTTCGCTAGACGGGGTAAGTCCGGCGGTGCCTTCTTCGTGTCCGATTCGACGGTCGCAGGGGCGTGTTCGTCGATTGTGTCCTAGGGAACAACATGGGGTGTTGAAGGGGCAGGGGAGGGGCTGGAGGGGCAGGAAGGTACCCCCTCACCTCTGCAGCCGCCTTCCTTTTCCGAAGCGTCTCGATCTCCTTGCGCAGCTCCTCGACGACGCTACGGGCCTCGGCGCTGATCTTCTCGTCGTCTCGAAGCAGCAGCTTCTCCTGAAGCTGTTGAATGCTGTTGTCCTCGGACCACAGTTTTCCACGCTCGTCGACGTAGCAAACGTCCGACGGGTTAAGGTCGCGGTCGCGGTCGCGGTCTTGGGGCGGCCCACTGTCGGCTTCATCGTCGAAGGTCTTGTACCGCGATTCGAAAGTGCAGTCGAGTATCTCACGACAGATCCTTCCCAGCAGGACTGCCAGCCAGGCGAGCCAGCTGCATGCGTCGCGGCTGGCGTTGGCAGCCGCTTTGAAGCTGCACAGCAGGAGAGCGCAGGCCTCCTTCAGCCGCTCGCTCAGCTCTGCCGGCGACAGGAGACGGAGAACTGTCGCCCCGCACACCGCTGGGAGACGGAGCAGGTTGAAGGGCGGCGGCGGCCACGCGTCGTCGTCAAAGAAGTAGCCCAGAGCAAGCTGCGCCTTGACAAAGCTGTTTTCGTTCTCGGCGTCGTCCCACACGACGTCGAATGTCTTGGCCATGATTGCGATGAGCATGTTGAGCAGCAGCACCACCGACAGCACCACGTAGACGCTCATGATGAAGGGCGCGGCGACGCGGAAGTCATACACCGTGCCCGACTCGAGCGTCTCGGCGACCGCGCCCGCACACTCGATGCTTGAGCCCGGGTCGAGCGAGATCAGCAGCAGCCGGTACAGCGCGACGGGCAGCGACTGCGATAGGTCCTCCAGGGGCCCGCACTCCTCGCCCCCGTCCAGCGCGGTGCTGCGGAAGAGCGTGTACAGCGCAGCGGCAAAGGCGGCGGCGCACCCAGCCATAAGGACTAGAAACTGGAGCGTGTCCTTTATCATCTTCCGCAGCATCACGACCTGCGGCCCCATGCCCAAGACGCTAAAGACGCGCAGGAACCACGAGGTCCACATGAGGAGCAGCCCGAACGCAAGGGTCTGGTGGCCCCACGGGAGGGGAGGCATCAGCTTGGCGCTGATTGCAAGGCTGACCGAGACCAGCTCCACCTGCTTGATGAAGTCGCCGCACGAGAAGAAGGCAGAGACCTCCTGCTCGAGCAGATGTGCAAACAGCCAGCCGAGAAGCAGCAGCGAGGTCAGTCCTGACCACGCACCCTCCGTGACCTGCTCGAGGGCGGGCAGGGCGCCCGACGCCCCTTGCGATACGAGAGTCGACACCCCTCCCCAGATATCGTCGACGGCGATGGCGAGGGTCGGCGTCGGCACGAGGGTCATCCAGAGCGCGAGCAGCGCCCAGCTGATTGACGACAGCACGAACCGGAAGACTGGGACGTCCAGCAGGTAGAGCGAGTCGGTATAGAGCTGCGCAGACGGGTTCCACTTGCGCTTGAAGTCCTCGCTGTGCGGCGTGCGGTGCGTGGATGCCAGTCTGAAACCGAGGTGAAGGCTCTGCAGCAGGACGGAGCGCAGGGGCGGCACGAGCGCCACGAACGGCAGCACCAGCAAGTTGAGCCCCACGGCCACAACAAGCAGCAGCGCGCGCGACAGCGGACGGCGAAGCTTTTGCTCGACGCCGTTGGGTGTGACGACGTAGCCAGAGACGACAGAGTGCGACAGCTCACCCATCCAGCGGCGTTCGATCGCGCTCTGCACAGTTGGGTCAGCCAGCAATGTCTTGCAAGGGACTCCGACGGCGCGGGCGAGGAAGTTTCGAGGCCGCTCCACCATCCCGGCCTGTCCACTCGCGTGTGGCACTGTCCTGGCGCGGCTTCCCTCGCTCTCGAGCAGGTGCATCTGCTGCAGGATCGACAGGCGGCTGAAAAGCAAGTTGCCATGGTTCTGTGCTCGCTCAGACGCCGCCGTGAGGTCGGCCGCCGCCGCAGGGCGGGTCCGTTTCTGCATCGCCGCCGCCGCCGTCGCACGCCTTGAAACCTCGGCGACATAGCAGAGCGCCTCGCCGGCCGACACGCGAAACAAGGCCGGCAGCAGCTCAATGGCCGAGTTGAGCTTCCCAAGCAGCTGCTCTGCCGAGAGCTCGTCGTCGCGGAGGGCGAGGTCGATGGCCGTCGCGCCGTTGTCGGTTTGGAATGTCGGCGAGGCGCCCCGCCGGAGCAGCACGCGCACGACCTCACTGTACCCATGCGTCGCCGCGACCTGCAGCGGCGTGAGCACGCTGCCGGAGGCAGGCACGTCCACCCGGTGCAGCATCGCCGGGGAGTCGCGGCCGCGGGGAGCGTCGCGGCCGCGGGGAGCGGCGTCGTGGCCGCGTGACAGCTGCCGGCGGGTGAGCTGGAACTCGACCAGCTCCTCGGGCAGCAGCCGCTCGTCGCGGAGGAGCGAGTCGACGAGGTCAGCGTCTCCCATGGCGACGGCGTCGTGCAGCGCAAGCCAATTGCGATCGGCGGCATCCTGTGCCGCACAGCGCTGCCCGTCCTTGCCGCTGTGGTCGGGCTTGCGCGCCACCTCGACAGGCGCCTCGACGCCGACGCCCCTCAGGTACGCCGTTTGTTCCTCATCGAGGACGGATGCGGCCTTGGCGAGGCGCATGTCGTCCGCCACCTTGAGGTAAAAGTAGACGGCCTCGCCCTGCCCGCTGGGCGAGGAGGAGTAAGCGAACGCGCCAAACTTGATTGGGTGCTCGCCCGCCTCCTCCCCCGGGTTGAGCCAAAGGAAGGACTCTGCGCCAACCCCGAGGAGGAAGGAGAGCGTGACGTCCCGCCATTGCCCCCGGACCCGATGGACCTCGCGAGCGGGCTTGATCATGCGGTGCGGACCCGTGAACTCGACCGTGTGATTCTTCGAGTAGAGGTCGTTTGTCGGAAGGCTGACGTAGGTCACGCGCAGCACTTTGGCGCGGCTGCCGTCACAGTCGGCATACACAAAGCCGCCCGACACCAGCAGTCCCTCGAATGGGTCGCACACACCGTCGCGCTGTTCGCCCACCGCGTCGAACTCGCGAGCGTCGAGGACACCGTACAGAAATGCTTGGTGCGTCGCATGCTGCGGGATGTTGAAGCGTGCGCGTAGCTCCCACCCGACCGTGATGGGCGCAAAGCGCGCGCATCGGCATCGCACCCACTGCTGGCTATTCCCACTGGAGGATAACAGCTTGCGAACTCCGTCGCGGAGCTGGAGTGAGCTCAGCCGGAGGTCGATAGCGTAGACGCTGAAAATCTCGGCCTGCGCGCTCCGAGGAAAGTCAATAATGAGAAAGTAGGTTCGTTCGCCGCTACTGCGCGTCCGTAGCTCCCTCTGGCTAGCCGCTGCTAAGCCATCCGCGAACTAACTGCGCGTCTGTAGCTCATTCTCGCAAGCCGTTGCTACGGCCGCTACTATTCGCACCGTATTGACGACGGTGCGGGACACATCGCTCCCCGAGATGCGGTCGGAGGTCGTGCCAATGAGCTGCAGCGTCTCGGGGTCGCTCCAGAGCGCCGGCACGGGCCGGAATACAAACTTCAAGGACAGGCCGCGCATCTGCCGCTCGATTTGCGGCACCTTGAGCATCTCGTCGGCGACGTGGTACACGTAGGCGCAGTGCGGCTGGTAGATTGGCACCTCAGGCGATATGTCCACCCACTTCACGCCCGGGCTTTTGATCTCGCCCTGCCCAAAGTCGTCCAGGTGGTAATGTCGCACAGTTGTCTCGATCCACGCGTCGTCGGTGTTGCGGGCGTCGTCGACGTAGCCACGAAAGACCGGCTCCGCAGTGCCGCCTTCTGCGAGATTGACGATGTCGACGCCCTTCTGGCGAAGCCCACGCTCCATCGCGTCGATGTCGCGCTCCCAGCCTCCGCCGCCCGGCAAAGCCCTCAGCATCGCGCCCGGTATGGCCCACTCCTCGCAGTCGAACCGCAGCACCGCGAGCAGCTGGAGCCGAAGCTGGCCCGACCCCGGCTGGAATCGGGTGATGATGGGATCGACCACGTAGTTCGCCCCTGCGACGGTGAACTTGTCCCAGCCACCCGTCAGCCCAGTGCGGCCTCCAGGATTGAGGCCTGCTGCGCGGATCTGCTGCTCATTGAGGCCCTTTGCAGGATTGAGATTGAGGCCTGCGCGACGACCTGCTGCGAGCTCAAAGCCGGAGCCGACTGGAGCGTAGCCAGGAAAGGGCCGTGCCCATGGGACGTGCTCGTCGTCGACGTCGTAGCGTCTCACATGCTTGGTCGAGTAATAGCGCTCGCTGTCACGAGCCATCCTGTGCGGTGCCGACGACCGCTGCTCCGGCATGGGCTGAATGAAGCCGATAGCGCGGCACATGCTGGCACGGCTCGTCCTGTCTGAGATCTCGTCGATCCCGCCGTCATCCTTGTCGGGCGTGGCTGTGCGTCTGGCCGTGAGCCAGCTCCTCCGAGGCGGTGGCAACGCCGGCCTCATTTGTCAGCAGAGCCGAAGGTGCTTCGCAAAGAGTCACTTTGAGAGCACAATCGAGTTGGGTCGGGCGCGGCTCACGATTGCGCTTGAGACGCGCAAGCCAAGGTGCGGCTTTTGCTTTCTTTTTCACCTCAGGTTGCCTTACCTTTGTTCGCCTGCGTTAGTGCCAGTGCGCGCCAGTCCCGTGCTCTCCGCCAAGCTGGCGAGCAGCAGCTGCGACCGCCTGCGAGAGTGATCGCTCACCGGCGGTCCCCTTTCTCCCGTGGTGTACCTGTGTTAGTGCCAGTGCGCGCCAGTCCCGTGCCCAGTGTTGTGTGTGTACTTGTTACGTGAAAACCCGCTGGGACCCGGACGCCAGCACACACGGCTAGATTTCATGGCGGGCCGCCTAGGCCCTGGGGTCGGAGGTAGAGTCGGTGGGGGTGCCGCGCGCGGCGCGGGCTTCGCTGTCGGGGGCGTTTAGGGCGGGGTCGGGGAAGGAGTCGCACTCCGTCTCTTTTCCTTTCCTTTTTTCTCTACAGCACCCTCTCTTTTCCTCTCTATTTTCCCGGGAAAACTCCGGGGAAACCATCAAATTTTCCGGGCTCTGAGCCGAGTCTGAGGCTGGTTTGGGCCCAAAATCAGCCAAATCGGCAGAATACCGGGTATTTTGCGGGTATACCTGGAAACCCCCGGGTATACCTGGAAAATACCCTGCGACCGCCTGGGTATCGTGCCGATTTCCTCAATTTTGCGTCAGATTTTGCCCCAGACCAGCTCTCAGACTCAGGGAAACTCGCGAGTTTCCAGAATGGAGCACCAAACACCCTCTGTTTTCCCTGGAAATTTCCGGAAACGCAAAGTGCTGGGGACCCTCTGTTTTCCTTTTTGTTTGCCGGAAAAGCTTGTGCAGGCCAACCGGGCGGCTGTGGGACGGAGGCCCGCCGAGCGAGTGCGAGCCGCATCGGCGGCCATGTCTCGCCGCCGCGAGCGAGCGGCGCAGAGAGGCAGCATGCTTTCCGCCGCGCGCTTTTCTTCTTTTCCGCGGGATCCTGTTTTCTTAATGCCCGCAACAGACTGTAGGTCCGGTTTTGACCGCCCCAGAGGGCCTACAACAGGTAGGTACCCCTATTTTCGTCTTTTTTCGCTTCGCTGCGCGGCTGTGAAGGAGCCGGAACCCTGAATGGCTCGTTTGCAATCGAGAATAAAAGAAACGCGACACCGACCACACCGCGCCGGGGCCCTTCGGCGCCCAGTGTCCGCTTTTTTCACGCAATGTGGGTCCACATCCGCGTCCCCGGCCCGGGCGGCGCTTGGGAGGGAGCGAGCTACGAGGTTGACAAGACGCTGCCCGTGATTGGCTTCAAGGCGCTCGTGGCGGACTGCCATGCGGCCGTGAGTAACATGGACGACCTGAGGCTGCTCTTCAAGGGGCGCGCGCTTGGCGACGGCGGATCCTTGGAGGAGGCGGGCGTCGAGGATGGCGCCACCCTCCACTGCACGCTCGCCTCGCGCCCGGGCGGCGCTGCCGCTCTGCCGGCTGCGGCACAGACGCTCGGGCCGCCGCCGCCGAGCGCCGAGTCGGCGCTTCTGAACAACCCGCTCGTCTCGTCGATGCTCGAGTCGCCGGAGGCGCTGCAGATGCTACAGGGGCAGATGATGAACAACCCGCAGATGCGCAGCATGCTCGAGGCGAACCCAGAGATGGCGCACGTGCTCAACGACCCCGCGACGCTCCGCCAGTCGCTGCAGACCGCGCGGAACCCGCAGCTGATGCGCGAGCAGATGCGCTCCACAGACCGGGCCCTCTCCAACCTGGAGGCGCACCCGGACGGATTCAACGCCCTCCGCCGGATGTACTCGACGGTGCAGCAGCCGCTGTACGAGTCCATGGCGGGCGGCGGCGCGGAGGGCGACGAGGGGAGCGGCGGCGGCAGCAGCAGCAGCAGCAGCGGCGCACCGGGCGCCATCAACACCACCCCGCTGCCCAACCCGTGGGCACCGCGGCCGCAGGCTGCAAACCCTCTGATGGGGTTTGGAGGATGGGGGGGTGCGGCTGTCGAGTCCTGTGAAGTCGTAACGAGCAGTGCTCGCTGTTGATGAATAGGTTCGGAGGGATGAACGAGGCCCTCGAGGCGGCGCGGCGGGAGGAGGAGGAGAGGCGACGGCGCGGCGGACAGTGAGGGGGCGGACAGCCCTAGCTTTTCCACGGGCAGCGGGGCGAAAGGGGGGTGGGGGGGGGGGGGGGGTTCCCGGATGAAACCTCGGCGTGCCTGCTGCGTCGCAGTGGCAGTGGGGAGGACGCACGTAGGCGGTCCGGCGCACTTGGGCAGGTTTTGACGCCGTGGCGCGTGGCGCGTGGGGTGGGGGCGGTCTCGGTCTCTGGCGCGCCGCGACTCGACCGGCCGTGGGCGCGCGGCGACGGACTGCGGCAACGGCCACCGCCCGCCGCCGCCCCGGCCCAGCCCAGTGCACTCGAACTTTACCGGTATGGGAGTTTTTGGCTAATCAAACTGCGACGATTATGGATATGCAACGGTGGCATAAGGCGACTGATACACCGTCGCACAAAACCCCCTGGCCTGCACTAATCAAAAAGTGGTATATGGGATACCACGTCGACGTGCGACTAGTTGCAAAAAAAGTCTCGCGTGGAAAAACCACGAAAAACTACCAAAAACGCAGTCACGGTCAGCTCGGCACTGGATCCCTACATTGAACCGACGCCATACACGTATCGCCGCCGTGCTCCATTGGGAGATACAGGAATCCCGCGACTCGCGACACCCCCCCCCCCCGCCCCCCCCCCCTCTTGCAGGGTGGCGCGCGATCGCTAGCTACGCCACGATCGATCGGTCGGTTCAGTGCTTGCTCGTCGATCGAGAGCAGCCGACCTCGTCTCTCTCTCTTGCCTTCCTTCCGCCGCGAGCGCCCGGCACCACACACCGCTTACTGCTGCTAATTGGCGCCGCGCCCTGCGCGTGCGACAGCTAGATCAGCTTCGCGCGGCCCGGCGCCGTCAATCGACTTGCTTGAGGATGTGCTTGGAGCGGCCGCCCAAGGAGGAGGTAGCGGGTAATGATCTCCACATTATGCGGACGCCAAGACGAATAAGGGCTTTCATAAATGGCAACACGTTGAGTCCAGTCACGCTGATGTAGTGAGAGACGCACGAACTTTGCCGTATGTATCTCTCTCTTGCCGTACGTACGTCCGTACGTCACTTTCCCTGATCTTTTTGGCGACAAATACACAAACATCTACTGGTGGTAAAATTCTGGTGGGTCCTTATAACGCCAACTTTTCGATCTTTGGCAGCAAAAACGAACGCACGACCTACTCGTAATGCACGTGCGTTTGCTCCTCGCCTGCGCGGTGGTGCTCGATCGCCTTGACGGTGGAGGGCGGGTTGATGCGACGTATGCTGATGACCAGAGCGGCGCCCATACGGCGGCCGATGGGTCTCGCCTCGAGGTTGGAGATTGGACTTATAGCTTCGCATTGAGCTCGCCGTCGCTGTCGCCGCCGGACCTGCCGCCGCCGCCGCAGAACCATCAGGCGAAGCACGCAGGAAACGAAAAGGACGGGAAGGGCGGCGACACAGGGAGCGTGCTCGTTCCAGGCAGAATCGCTCAAGCGGCTGAGCGAGGCGACGAGGCGGCGGTGCTGGCGTTGGTCGACGGTGGCGGGCAGGCGAACGCGTTCGACCCGCGTTGGCCTCCGTTGCTGCGCCTCGCCGCCGGTAACGGCCACGAGCGGGTGGTCGACTTGCTGCTGCAGCGCGGCGCGGAGATCGACATGCGGGATAGCGACGGCGGCACCGCGCTGATGTATTGGGCCGGCTACGGCCACGAGCGGGTGGTGGACCTGCTGTTGCAGCGCGGCGCGGAGATCAACAAGCAGACATTCGACGGCGGCACCGCGCTGATGGCCGCCGCCGACAACGGCCACGAGCGGGTGGTCGAGTTGCTGCTTCTGCACGGCGCGGGGATCGACATGCAGAGCAGCAATGGCGGCACCGCGCTGATGGGCGCCGCCAGCCAAGGCCACGAGCGGGTGGTCGACTTGCTGCTGCAGCGCGGCGCGGGGATCGACCTGCAGAGCAGCGAGGGCTGGACCGCGCTGATGATCGGTGCCCACTTGAATCAACCCGCTGTCGTTCAACGCCTGCTGCGAGCGGGATCAGACACAACGTTGCGCGGCGAGGACGGCAAGACGGCGCTGATGCACGCGAAGGATGAGGGCCACACCGAGTGCGCGCGCGCTATCGAGGAGCACGTGGGCGAGAGGAAGATGGGGACGGGCACGGGCGACGGCACTGAGGGCGCGCTCGCTTCCTCCGTGACGTGGAGCTTTCTGCTCGTCCTGTGCGCTCCGGGCGGGTTTTGCGTGGCGTGGAGCTTTCTGATCGCCCTGTCCACTCCGGGCGTAGTCGGCAGCGCGTTGCTGCTTCTCCCGCCCTACCGGAGCCGCCAGCACGCCCCGGCACGACGGCGGGGGCGATGGCGAACACTGGAGGGGACGCAGCGGTTCGTTCGGCCGCACCAGTCAATGCTTCACTCCTTGTGGGCGTGGGCGACTTCTTGGCGACGCGGGGCGCGGGAGCCGGAGCGAGGCCAACGGCAGCGGCCAGGGCGACAAGGACGGCCCCCGGGGGCGTGGCACATTGCGGAGCCTCGTCGGCGGCGGGTCGCTCGAGCGGCGCGGCCATCTTGGGAGGCGGCGGCTGCGCAGCAGGCGGTGAGCGCAGAGCGAGAGGAGCAGCCTTCGAGGGCGGAGACGGCAAGGGCGGAGACGGCGAGGGAGCCGCGCGAGCAGGAGCGGCGGGCAGCGGCAGCGGCAGCGGCAGCAGCTGAGGCAAAGGCAGTGGCAGCGGCAGCAGCAGAGGCAGAGGCGGCAGCAGAGGAAGAGGCAGAGGTAGCGGAGGAGCGCGCGAGGGAGGAGGGCGAGGGGGAGGGCGAGGAGGACGTCGCACCCCTCGCGGCCGTGCCTCTGTCGGAGGCCAACTTTGATACTGGCCGCCCGGCCGTGCCCGAGTCGACCCTCGGCGGCGAGTCAACATGCATAATTTGCTTCACCCAGCCAAAGTCGCACGCCGCGGTGCCTTGCGGGCACCGCTGCGCTTGCGCCGACTGCTCCGCCAAGATCATGGAGGGTGACCGTCGGTGCCCGTACTGTCGCGAGGAGGTGATGATGTGGATGATTCCACGTGAGGTCTGAACTCTGATTTGCGGGTGTTCCATTGGTGATAACTCCTAAAGTGAAGTCTTTCATGTGCAGCCCCGACCCGTGTCACAAAAGTCAAAACATTTACGATTGCAATGTAATGTATACTTGGTTGCGAGTTAAAAAAAGCCCATTCCGCGCCCGCAGCCAGCAGCAGTACACATGCCGTTCTGGTGCCCCTCGGCTGGCCAGAGGCACGCGAAGAGGGTGCGTGCGCAGCGCGTCGCGGCCGCGCACTTGGGAGCCGGGGGGATGGCGCCCCGGAGGGGGCGGGACGCCTGCATGTCCTCGAAGCTCCCACCCGCATACGCAAGCCGAGCCGCGAACGGCGGCGAGAGAGTTTGGCAGGGGGTCAGCGAGGACCGCGCATGGCGAAGGAACCTTTTTTAGGACCCAGCGGGCAGCGCAAACACACCGTCTCCCCTCTCCATCGTGCCGCCCGGCCCCGCCCGCCCGGCGCCGGCGCCGCCGCCGCCGATCCCGTCCAAAGATGTGGCTGTGCTCCTGTGGAGATATATGACAGCACAAGATGTGAACAATACACAAAAACGTGAGGTAGAGTCTGGAACACACCGCGGCCCTGTATGCGGACTGCCTCGCTCTAGCGGCCGCCCTCGTCCGAGCTGGCGCCCGAGTCGTCGTCGTCAGAGAGCGGCGTCGCGCGGGCGCCGTCTGCGTACCGCTGGCGGAAGCGCGCGACCTGCTTGGCCTTCATCTTGATTGCGCCCGCCATGCCCAGCCAGTGCTCGAGCACCTGAAGAGGGGGGTCGTGGTGTCAACGGCGCAAGGGCACTCGCCCCAAGGCTGCCCCCATTCGGGCTCGGTGGGTCCCGTGCGCTAGGCGGAGGCTGACGCGTGGCTAGAGTGTCGCAGAGGTATAGCCGGAAGCTCCTAGCGGCGCCCGATCTAGTTGCGCGGCCCGTCGCAAGAAGCGTCCGCAGAGAGCTGTGAGGGGCTGTGGGCCCCTCCAGAGAGCTGTGAGGGGCTGTGGGCCCCTCCGGCACTCCCGCGCCCAGTGCCTCCCATCCGTGGCCTGCCCGTGCCTCGACTGGCCCCTGGCCCCTCCTCACAGCTGTGACCCCTCCCCACAAGTCACTCCCTCCTCACAAGTCACTCCCTCCTCACAAGTCACTCCCTCCTCACGCGCGCCACACCGAAGGCACACCCAAGCCGCTGCTCGGCCGCCTGCCAACACGGCCTCGGCTGACCTCGGCGGCTCCTCAGGCGGATCTGGGGCGAAACTCAGGCCGCTCTCCGTCCCATCTAGCTCGGATCTCGGCCCGATCTCGGCCCGATCTCGGCTGTATCTCGGCTGTCTCTCGGCTGTCTCTCGGCTGTCTCTCGGCCGTATCTCGGCTGTCTCTCGCCTCCGTGCGAAAGTCGTCCTTTCCGCCGAGGTCCTCGAAGCCAAACAGCTGCTCTCCCTTGACGCCGTCCTAGCAGTAGCAAGCGGCCTTGGTGACGGTGAGACTGAGGAGGGAAGAGCTGTTTTGTCTCAGACGCCGTCCTTGAAGACCAGGACGGCGGGCAGGACGGTGAGGGCGAGTTTGCGCACAAAGAAGGGCGCCTGTGGCAGCTTGCTCATTCATGACTTCATTAGTTGCTGTGGTAGCACGTGAGCAGTTGGTTCATTCATTCATTCATTAAGAGCGTGCGGACAAAGGAGGGCGCCCCCTGGGGTGGGGAAGGGGGGG